TGATGAGGGCAACAAATGTATAGATGTGCTTTACACAATTGATCTATGTATTGTGATGAATTGTATGAGCCCCAATAAATTGATTAAAAAAAAACCCCAAAAAACTAAGATGTTACATCAACTTGTAGACAGCGGCTCTAGAGAATTATGAAATAATGGGCAACCTAGTCACCTGAGCAACCAATTATATTTTAATATCAATTTGATATACAAGTATTTTCTAGGCCTTTTTTTCCTTAGAAAGTTTCTTCACAAAGTTGATTGAGAAATATGTATTTTCTAATGTTTCTTATAATGTTATCCCAAGTTTGTAATAGCTACATGTTTTATTTAAACAACAAAATTTAATACTCCTGTATTACATATTTAATTCCAGTTTCTTCTCCTTTTTTCCTCTTCCTCTTTCCCCTATTTCTTTTTTTTTATCAAAAAGCTTCAGTAAACACCTTAATGAATTAAAAGCTAGAACAATACAAAGCACTTTTCTTCAATGTTTTTAGAGTAAAAATTCAGAAATAGAGTTACTGGGAAAGTGCTGTGTGTATATGTGTGTGTGTGTGTGTGTGTGTGGTTTTTCTTTTTCTTATTTTTTTGAGATTGTCAAGAATTTTGTAAGAATGGTGCCCAGTTTCTTACCAAATTCACGGTATAAAGTTAGATTCTGCCAGCAGTCTAAGTGCTTATGCAGACATGCCGGTGGCATGTTTCGTTGGCCAGGCAGCCAGCCATCTGGCAGGGTGGTGGCGCTGATGCTTTCTCTGCTGTCCCCCACAGGACACGGTGCCCACCATCGTGGACTACTGCCTCCTGCTGCAGCGAAAGTGAGTATCCCTGGCTGTCAGAGTCCGTTATTGGGAACCAAGGTCACCACCTGCTTATGTGTAATTGACTCTTCAGAATTGTGTGTATTTGATTGGACAGGTTTGAAAAAATTAATTAATTTGCAAACATGGTTCATGAGCAGTTTTCAGTGGCCTCATCTACTAAAATTGACTTTCCTAAAATAGATGCAGAGGGTTTATCATCTCTGTACTTGAATGGCAGGACCGTGGAGGTGAAGAACATTACCTTACTTACAGAAGAGCAGTACTATTTAAGATCTTAACCATGGAAGTGTGTGATTCATTGTGCTGCATATGTGCCCCTCTGTGAGCAATCACTAAGCAGTATGCCACCCCACCCAAAAAAGGAGATAGACTGTGCTCCCACAGTGTTGCTTTACACGCCTTTTGTTTAAAAGAAGTAAGTGTGAATAAAGTCCTGATTAGGCATTGTTGGCTTAGCTAGTTAACTATAGAAGTTAACAAACCTATTCGAATTCAGCTTTGCCACATTTACAATAACACTTAGTTCCCTATGGTTCAGACATTGCCCTGTCCTAAGCCCTTTATATTAACTTATAACAGTAAAAATGATTATTGTTATCCTTATTTTACATAGAAGATCCATCAGTGAAAAGTGATTAAATAACTTTCTACCTTAGTGTTGTGGGTCCTATCAGTCTGTCCAGTCAGGAAGCCTGATCTCGTTCATGATTGTGGGTGTTGTTTTTTTTTCTCACTCGATCCAGAATCTTTTAATGTGATCCTTTCAGAGCACTTGCAGCAGTAGTTGGACACTATCTAGTTCTGGTCTCGGGGATGTGGAGGCTGATATTTGTGGGGCCTATTAGTTGTAGTTATAGTGTGATAGTGGTACTGTATGGGGCTGCTAACCACGCGGTTTGGAAATTTGACACTACCGGCCGCTCCTCAGGAGAAAGGGGAAGCTTTCTATACCAAGAAGAATTACAGCCTCAGAAACTCGGAGGCAGTTTTACCCTGTCCTATAGTGTCCCTGTGAGTCGGCATCAACTGAATGGCAGTGAGTTTGTTTTATTTACCCTGGAAAATAGAGCAGTTTCATTAGCATTTGCAATTTCTTTAGTACTATACATCCCCTTCTGATCTCTTAATTTTGTGAACCAGTTTTCTGACTTGAAGGCAATGAGTAGTTAGTAGTATTAGTTATGGGACTAAGTGTTTCCATCTATCTTTTGATTTTCACCATTTTTCATTCTAGCAGGTGGGGAGAGACAAATATTTACACCATAGAAGGCTGTTCATGAGCTTTTAAGCTCTACTGGAAAGCATTCCGTCGGTGTTAGTGCCAGAAATACCTTTGTGACTTCCCACCATCTAGATGGACACGGCACTGCTGCTTCCTAGCACGTCAAGAGCCACACTGTGGTCCTAACCTCACCCTAGCTTTCCTGAACTTGGCCTTCTCTCCACTAGTTTGTTCTTCATCCAGTCCACGTGCGTTGTGATCGTTAACGGATGTTTGCAGCTGGGAAGGACTACCACAGACCATCTGGTTAATGTGATTCTTGAGATGCAGGTCATTTTTCTGTCTCCTCCTGTTCCAAACGTGCAGTGATTAAAGAATGACTAAATGTTAAAAGTTTTATGTTTACTTAAACAATCCAGTATAATCACTCTTAAATGGTAGAGTTGTATCGTTTCCCCCCCTAGAGTTGTCAGAGATATGGAAGTTGAAAGTGGTTAATTCCTTAGGCTAAATGGAAGCAGAGAATTGTATAGCAGTCCTATAGACTCCTGTTTGCTGATCTTGTATCCTGCCACTCTGCCATATTCCTCTATTGCTTCCAACACTCCACTTGTGGAGTTTCGGGGATTTTCGATGTATAAAATCATCGTCTGTGAATAATGATGGTTTTGCCTCTTCCTTTCCCAGATGAATACCTTTGATGTCTTTGTCTTATGTTGTTAGCTAGGACCCCCAGTACAATGTTAAATAAGAGTGGGGACAAGGGACATCCTTGTCTGGTCCCCTTTTTTAGTGGAATTGTTTTCTTCTTTTCTCCATTGACTACCATGTTGGCTGTTGGTTTTTCATATACAGCTTGTATAAGATTGAGGAATTTTCCTTCTATTCCTGTCTTCTTGAGTGTCTTAAACAGGAATGGGTGTTGGATGTTGTCAAATGCTTTCCCCGCATTTATCGATATTATGTGGTTCTTACAATTTTTCCTGTCAATGTGGCGGATAATACTAATGGTCTTTCATATGTTGAACCATCCCTACATCCCTGGTATGAATCCCACTAGGTCATGGTGAATTATTTTTTATATGCTTTTGTATTCTATTGGTAGGTATTTTGTTAAGGATTTTTGCATCGATGTTCATTAGGGATATTGGTCTGTGGTTCTCAATTCTTGTGCGATCCTTGCCGACTTTAGGTATCAGAGTTATACTAGCTTCATAGAAAGAGTTTGGAAGTTTTCCGTCTTTTTCTATGTTCTTGAAGAGTTTGTGTAGGATTGGTGTCAGTTCTTCCCTGAATTCCCCTGTGAAGCCCTCTGGCCCTGGGGGATTTTTTGGTTGGTTATCCCTTGATAACCTTGTCTGTTTCTTCCATTGCTGTGAGTCTTTGTTGAGGTTCTTGACGTCCATCTGGGCTAGTCTAGGGAGGGATGGTTTTTCCAGGAAGCAGAGAATCGTAAGATGCCTGGAGCTTTGTTTCCAGGATGCTGTCTTTGGCTTTAAACTATCCGCTCTTTGTACCATGTTTGTTGACATCTGGCCCCTTTTGCATGTAGGTGCCTCTCATGTTTCCACAATGGCACTGCATCTGTGACATCAACATTGCTTTAAAGAATGCTCAGATCCAATTTCCCACAGATGGGCCCTGGGTCCCCACTCCGCACTCATTCACAATGCTATGAATTTTTTTTTTTTTTGGTCTTTGATGCCTGATACCTGATCCTTTCTATGCCTTGTGATCTCACAGGCTGGTGTGCTTCTTCCATGTGGGCTTTGTTGTTTCTCAGTTAGATGGGCCCTTGTTTATCTTCCAGCCTATAGGACCCCAGATTCTATATCTTTTGACAGCCGGGCACCATCAGCTTTCTTCGCCTCATTTTCTTATGCACCCACTTTGTCTTCAGTGGTTGGGGTAGGCTGGCGTGCTTCTTCCATGTGGGCTTTGTTGTTTCTTCGCTAGATGGCCACCTGTTTATCTTCAAGCCTTTAAGACCCCAAACACTATATCATTGGAAGTCCCCTTGCAAAAGAGCTGTGCGGAGAAGACGAGCCAGTCAGGGTGCAGTGTAGCAATGATGAAACATACTATTTTCCTCTAGTTCTTGAATGCTTCCTTCTCCCACTATCATGATCCCAATTCCACCTTACAAATCCGGCTGGACTGGAGGATGTACACTGGTACAGATAGAAACTGGAAACACAGGGAATCTAGGACAGATGAACCCCTCAGGACCAGTGGTGAGAGTGGTGATACTAGGAGGGTGGAGGGAAGGTGAGGGAGAAAGGGGGAACCAATTACAAGGATCTACATGTAACGTCCTCCCTGGAGGACGGACAGCAGAGAAGGGGGTGAAAGGAGACATCAGATGGTGTAAAATATGACAAAATCATAATAATTTATAAATTATCAAGGGTTTATGAGGGAGGGAGAAAATGAGGAGCTGATACCAAGGGCTCAAGTAGAAAGCATATGTTTTGAGAATGATGATGGCAACATATGTACAGATGTGCTTGACACAATGGATGGATGGATGGATGGATTGTGATAAGAGTTGTACGAGCCCCCAAGAAATGATTAAAGAAAAAACAATGTTCAGATCATGTGCGATCTCAGTGCCCTCATGTAAGACACAGTCGACTGCTCCACCACTGTCAGGTCATTGCTTCCACATCTAGAGTCCTCACTCGGGTTCTCATTCTTGCACGCATCCTGGCCAAAGATGCCTTTGTATCTTCATGACTTCTGACGGAGTATATATTTTTTAATAGTCCTCATTTTTATTTTCACATATTGTACTATATTTTATGATTCAAATTATTCACATAATACATAATTTCAAATTAATTTAAAATCAACAACAGTCAATATTATACTGTCACTACTCTTTGTTATATAGTAAAGTTTTTAATTCATAGAATCTCATACTTAGCTTTCACTGTTGTCGCGTTGATGCCAGCTCATAGCAACCCGTAGGGCAGAACTGTCCACGTGGGTATCCAAGACTCCCTGTCTTTCTCCCTTCTGGAAGCTGGTGGTTTTGAACTGCCAATCTTTTGGTTAACAGCCCAATGTGTAACCACTATGTCACCAGGGCTCCTACCTCGTACATAGCAGTATTGAATAAAGTAGTGTATATGCTTTTAAGTTATGTGTATATATGCCTTCCTATTTGTATATAAGAATTCTTTTATAATCTAAAATCTTCTTTTTAAATCATTTTATTGGGGACTCATACAACTCTTATCACAATCCATACATACATCGCTTGTGTAAAGTACATTTGTACATTTTTTGCTCTCATCATTCTCAAAACATTTGCTCTCCACTTAAGTCTTTGGCATCAGCTCCTCATTTTTCCCCCTCCCTTCCCCTCCCTCATGAACCCTTGATAATTTATAAATTATTATTATTTTGTCATATCTTAACACCATCCGACGTCTCCCTTCACCCGTTTCTTCGCTGTCTGTCCCCCAGGGAGGAGGTTATATGTAGATCCTTGTAATTGGTTCCCCCTTTCCAACCTACCCTACCTCCACCCTCCCAGTATCACACTCTCACCACTGGTCCTGAAAGGATCATCTATCCTGGATTCCCTGTGTTTCCAGTTCCTATCTGTACCAGTGTACATGCTCTGGCCTAGCAAGATTTGTAAGGTAGAATTGGGATCATGATAGTGGGGAGGTTGTGGGGAGGAAGCATTTAGGAACTAGAAGAAAGTTGTATGTTTCATTGTTGCTACACTACATCCTGACTGACTCATCTCCTCCCCATGACC